ACACACACACTCCACAGACACCCACACACACACACCCATCCATCCACACACACACACACATCCACACAACACTCCACAGAACCCACACACACATCCACACACACACACTCCACAGACACCCACCCACACACACCATCCATCCACACACACACACCCATCCACACACACACACACCCATCCATCCACACACACACACACTCCACAGACACCCACACACACACACCCACCCATCCACACACACACACACACCCATCCATCCACACACACACACATCCACACACACACTCCACAGACACCCACACACACATCCACACACACACACTCCACAGACACCCACCCACACACACCCATCCATCCACACACACACACCCATCCACACACACACACACCCATCCATCCACACACACACACACTCCACAGACACCCACACACACACACCCACCCATCCACACACACACTCCACAGACACCCACACACACACACCCATCCATCCACACACACACACACATCCACACACACACTCCACAGACACCCACACACACATCCACACACACACACTCCACAGACACCCACCCACACACACCCATCCATCCACACACACACACCCATCCACACACACACACACCCATCCATCCACACACACACACACTCCACAGACACCCACACACACACACCCACCCATCCACACACACACACACACCCATCCATCCACACACACACACATCCACACACACACTCCACAGACACCCACACACACATCCACACACACACACTCCACAGACACCCACCCACACACACCCATCCATCCACACACACACACACCCATCCACACACACACTCCACAGACACCCACACACACACACCCATCCATCCACACACACACACACCCATCCACACACACACTCCACAGACACCCACACACACACACCCATCCATCCACACACACACACTCCACAGACACCCACCCACACACACCCATCCATCCACACACACACACCCATCCACACACACACACACCCATCCATCCACACACACACACACTCCACAGACACCCACACACACACACCCATCCATCCACACACACACACTCCACAGACACCCACCCACACACACCCATCCATCCACACACACACACACCCATCCACACACACACACACCCATCCATCCACACACACACACACTCCACAGACACCCACACACACACACCCATCCATCCACACACACACACACCCATCCACACACACACTCCACAGACACCCACACACACCCACCCATCCACACACACACACTCCACAGACACCCACACACACACACCCATCCATCCACACACACACACCCATCCACACACACACACACCCATCCATCCACACACACACACACTCCACAGACACCCACACACACACACCCATCCATCCACACACACACACTCCACAGACACCCACCCACACACACCCATCCATCCACACACACACACACCCATCCACACACACACACACCCATCCATCCACACACACACACACTCCACAGACACCCACACACACACACCCATCCATCCACACACACACACACCCATCCACACACACACTCCACAGACACCCACACACACCCACCCATCCACACACACTCCACAGACACCCACCCACACACACCCATCCATCCACACACACACACCCACCCATCCACACACACACTCCACAGACACCCACCCACACACACCCATCCATCCACACACACACACACCCATCCACACACACACTCCACAGACACCCACACACACCCATCCATCCACACACACACACACCCATCCACACACACACACTCCACAGACACCCACACACACCCACCCATCCATCCACACACACACACTCCACAGACACCCACACACACACACACCCATCCACACACACACTCCACAGACACCCACACACACCCACCCATCCATCCACACACACACACACATCCACACACACACTCCACAGACACCCACACACACACACCATCCATCCACACACACACACACCCATCCACACACACACTCCACAGACACCCACACACACCCATCCATCCACACACACACACACCCATCCACACACACACTCCACAGACACCCACACACACACACCCATCCATCCACACACACACACACATCCACACACACACTCCACAGACACCCACACACACATCCACACACACACACTCCACAGACACCCACCCACACACACCCATCCATCCACACACACACACCCATCCACACACACACACACCCATCCATCCACACACACACACACTCCACAGACACCCACACACACACACCCACCCATCCACACACACACACACACCCATCCATCCACACACACACACATCCACACACACACTCCACAGACACCCACACACACATCCACACACACACACTCCACAGACACCCACCCACACACACCCATCCATCCACACACACACACACCCATCCACACACACACACACCCATCCATCCACACACACACACACTCCACAGACACCCACACACACACACCCACCCATCCACACACACACTCCACAGACACCCACACACACACACCCACCCATCCACACACACACTCCACAGACACCCACACACACACACCCATCCATCCACACACACACACTCCACAGACACCCCAGACACCCACACACCCACACACACACACCCACCCATCCACACACACACACACCCATCCATCCACACACACACACATCCACACACACACTCCACAGACACCCACACACACATCCACACACACACACTCCACAGACACCCACCCACACACACCCATCCATCCACACACACACACCCATCCACACACACACACACCCATCCATCCACACACACACACACTCCACAGACACCCACACACACACACCCACCCATCCACACACACACTCCACAGACACCCACACACACACACCCACCCATCCACACACACACTCCACAGACACCCACACACACACACCCATCCATCCACACACACACTCCACAGACACCCACACACACACACCCATCCATCCACACACACACACCCATCCACACACACACACTCCACAGACACCCACACACACATCCACACACACACACTCCACAGACACCCACACACACCCATCCATCCACACACACACACACACATCCACACACACACACTCCACAGACACCCACGATGGTTACGCGCGGCCTGGCGCGCCCCGCGTCCACGGCACACGAGGGATCCCTCTCCGTGCTTTACGATAACTTTACAGTCCTCTTGACTTGGACACGTTCGCTGAGCCAGTTTATTATTATTATACGTGTGTGCGTCTTCTCAAGCAATATAGATTTTTGAACTCGGTCAAAAATATCTTTCATCAGTTGTAAAACAAACAACGACGACGTCAGGTGACCTTGATCGAGTCGGCCGCAGCGCTGGATATTTTAAAGCAACAAATAAGTCTGCGATAAAACGAGAGACCCAAATGCTGCACATTCTTAATTATTTACACTGAATTGTGTTCAACATCAATAGGCGTCGTACAAAAGGTGTAAACAAGCCCAGGTGTGGAGAATGTATCATTGCGATGTTGAGCCATGGCCAGGTTGCTCATTCAGTGCTTGTGGTCCCAGGTGGGAAAAAATGATTTGCGCTGCACTCAAAACCTGCTCTGGAATCTTCAATGGCAACGTGAGAGGAGGAGCTGCCCAACTTGGTGGCGTCCGCCACTCTCGCAGGCGCACGCACTGGGGTAGAGCCGTGTGTGTGGGTCCGTCCGGCACCAACGCTCTCTCATCTGAGGGCACGGGGCTCTCGTTCTGGCAGAAATTTGGCTCAGCCCCATCATCCTTTTGAGATCGCTAAAATATGCACCTGGCTCGTTTGATCACCAAGTAGCAAGTCAAAATTGGTTGTCCTCTCTTCGGAATGTGGAATTCTCCCACCAGTGGCTCTGGACCACCAGGAAAGACAAAACACTGCCAAACGATTATTTGTTTATGGGATAACTTGAATGGTTTCTTTCCCACTGCCAGTGGGGCGGGGGGAATGGTCAGCATGATGGCCTTGCAATTCAGAGATCGCCATCGGTTCAATATCCCGGCGCGGCGGCCGAAATGAATGGGCATGTTTCTGTAACCCCTTCGACCTGTCCACCAAGCAGTCGGTGTAAGTCGGCACATCGCAGTGAATTCGATCGACAGGTCACGCATGGTGAGCTAAAGCGGAGGTGCTTGTCCTTGTCTGGCCCGTGTGGAAGAGTCGCTGGAATAACCTCCAGTGGCGTGCGCAGGCGATTGCACGCGAGCACCCTTTGCCTTTTAAAATGTTGAGAGCCAGTTGAAGATGCAACTGCAGTGGCATTAAATGTGTCATTAAACCGGCCGGTTTTCGGTTTGTCACGTAAACAAAACGTGCCAATTGGCTACTACTTCAGTACACCAGTGTGTTGTAGAGTAAACCCACAACATTGTATGTTGATTAACTGTGAATAACCCAAGCAATAATCACTGCATACATTCTCAGATTAATGATCCATTATAACTTATACGACTACATTAAGCCGATAGGCCGACAGTGATGACATGAGACCGAAACAGGGCGACTTCTTCACAACTCTGGCTATCGCCTGACGAGGCTGGTTGTGGTAATCACCAGCGAAACATCACGGCACTCGAATTGTAAATGCTGTGGCTTTACTCCCCAACACACCGGTGTGCTGAAGTAGTAGCCAATTGGCACGTTTTGTTTACGTGACAAACCTTACCAATTTTCCATGTCGGGTGGTGGGTTTTCCGACATTCATATTTACGCGATCTAACCCACCAAAAAAACACCTTTATTACAGATAATATTGGCCACGAAAAGCCACCACTCCGCGTGAAACTGCATGCGGGGAGCCCCGCCGCGCGGACGGTCCTGTCACAACGGTGCAAGAGTTGTTGCTCAGCGGCGAGCGCCCCCCGCGTGCAGGCAAAAAAAACACAACAGATGGGGACATGGAAAAAAGATGTGCTCATTATAATTTTAATGTTTCACAATGAGCAAGAAACATACTGATGATGTCATTTTTTCAGAGAAATAAGCTCAAATACATTCTACAATAAACCAGTTTTTTGACAACGACAAGTTTGCGACAAATTAAAAAAAAAAGTTTATATCTCTGTATGTTATGTTAGTGAGTGTATTATAGTACAGCTCATTCTCATCGACAGTACAGTAACAAAAACTATTAAGACTACGTTCCGTAATAGAAAACATCAACAGCTTTTTTTGGTTTAGTCTGCATTTTATAGTTACAGCTATTGATTAAATAAGCAAAATCATCAAGGGTATGTGTACAAAGGTAACAAAAGTATGAGGGGACACGGGCTTCAGCTGTCAAGGAATATATGCACTCTGCATTAACTCGTTTTTCAATAACAACCAAATTGTATTTATACGTCCTATGTTTAACGTGGCACAATCCCACACGCTACAAGTCCTTCGGAACTTTTTGGCTTTAAAAAAAAAATTGTGAATTAAAGCATTTTTCGTGCTAATGTAGTTTGTTTGTTTTGTAACGTTTAGTGTTGATACCGTGGACTTAAAGAGGTCTTGGTACGATCTGCCCAGCAGTCAATTCTGACAAAAAACACACACAGACCTGGAGAACACCATACAATCATGCAACATTTAAAGTGATGGCATTTGATATTCACTCTGAAAAACAATATCAATATTTGCAGTGTTGGTTATAAACAAATTATGAAAACAGCATCTCAAAAACATTGAAAAAAAGAGCTAAAAGATCCAGTGGAAAGCGTTGTCAAATGTGCATCTGTTGTGAACCTTCGTTTAAATGCTACAGTTTCAGCTTTGATGTTTACGAAACAGAATTCCTCGACTGAATAATAAAACACAGGGAGACAGACACGACAACGAAACAATGAACACCAAAGAAAGAAAATTCCATCGCACACTTCTTTAGTCGAACAGTAATGGGGGGAGGGGGTAATTTATCTTCAAAGCCATGTTTAGCTGTGCAAAAAAGATGAAATTAATGTCATGCTTTTGTACATAGTACGGAAAGCTAAGTGTTTTATTTCCACTGACTGCAAAAGAAATATATACAGCACGGGTGTAAAAAAAATGGTAAAAGTAAAAATCCAAGTAATTTTTTTTTGTCTTTCTCGTACGTTTTTTTTAAAGAACATGTTGGGTAGACAGATGATAAAACGCCGGTTTGGAATGAATGTGGATAACATCCTTTTGCTAGCACACTTCAAAGATATTCACAGTCACGGGCATGAGCGTGCGCCATACAAAGAGAAGCCACCACCACCATCACCACAGAGCGCGCGGCGGTCTCCGTGATCGGCGCCTCTCGCGCCCCCGCTGCGTGCAGCCACTTGAGGTGTGTACACAAAATAACAACAACGACAACAACAACAACAACGACGGACCCGGAACCACAAGCAAAATAGCAGCACAAGGATGGGGAGCTGTTAAGTCGATTGAAAAATTAGACTGCTGTTCCGTCTATTAACTGGCAGTGTTAAATTAAAGTTTGCTGCAGAAAGTTTTTCCGTCTGTAATTTTTTTTACATTTTCACTTTGCTTCACCTGTACTTAAATCATGATATCACCGTATTTAAAATTGTTACGTTTTAACATTTTAGAGCAGCATCTTTGTTTGCGAGGACAAACAAAGATGGCGGCGTCACCACCCCTCTCGACACCATTTTGTTTGTTCGTATTTTTGTCCTTTTCCAAAAAAAGAGCCGACTTCAAGTACACCAACACCTATTTCGTTTATGCACCAAGTTACGTCTTTGGATCATTAAAAGGGGAACAAAACTACGATGGGAAAGAGGAAATAGGTGCGGCGCTAAAGCTCGCCCCTGCCCCCCCCCCAAAAAAACAATAAAACGACAGTGCTATTTTTAAATGTAAAAGATTAATATTTTAAATAAAGAATATAACGAGCTATCATAGTCATGATCATCATCATCACCATCGTCACCATCACCTATAGTAGAGCTGAAGAAGTGCTGCGGTAAAAGGTATGCAAAATAAATGGAATAAAGAAATTAAAACAGCCACTTAGGAAACATCACATCCCCTAAACGTCACATGTCCGATCACACGACGTCCATCCGAGCAGCTACAAAACTACGGTACCGTGTTAGCTGTATCATCAATATCGGGCGTTCAGATAGAGAGAGAGAGGTGAAGGAGGAAAGGGGAAATGAACATTGGCACAAATTTACACAATTCGATTTCTTTGCCTCCATCTCGCACATTAAAAAAGGAAAACAAAATGTCCACGACACTAAGACATAGCAGTTGTGAAACATTATAAATGTGTACACAGGTATCACTGTACTTGTGTAATAGCTCCATAGTAACAAACTATCCAACATCAAAACAGTACTCATTTTATTATAAATACAGGAGAGCTACTTTTTTTTACTTTTTTTTTTAATTCTCGTCTTAATGTTGTTAAGCTCTACCGTAACAGAAGACCTACAAGAGAGTAAAGATCTATTTTATTTTTAAGAACCCCATTAAGAAGAGTTGCTTTTGCTTGTTATGGACAAGTCAACTCATGAGAAGAGAAATCAAAAGCTTTTTAAACTTGAACTAAGTGTGAGCTACTGACCTGAGATATACAGACACAGATTCATAGCTAGCCATTGGTATAGTTCATGATTAGTTAGGCAAAGAATGTTGCTGGATCATTATCCCCATATAACACATGCTAGCGGGATGCGCTCGCCAGTTGTGCCGTTCGCCCCACCGCGCGCCCCACCGCCCATGCCCCCCCCCCCCCGTGACCTCTCCGAGTATTTGGCTTTTTGAACCCCCTTCGAAGCGCCGTCACAACGCACCTCAGCAGAAATGTTCCAAACTTTTTTTAAAGTTTTGTTTTTCTTTTCTTTTGCCGTTTTAAAAGTAGAGCACAAAATAAAAACAAAGTGTCAAATAAAAACGTAACAGCAACTGTGCCTTTTTTGACCATTTATAAACACACACAATTAGAAACTATTCCTCAAGCCAGCATATCAATATGGGAAGAACAATCCGAAGTCAAATTATTTTTGGTTTTGATTAGGAGCTTTGGAATAGTAGTTAGTAGTAATTGGTTTTTGACTGTTGATAAAACCCTTCCCATTCATTATTATTATTTTATTATTATTGAGGATCCAGAGGATCTCATTAATATTATTATTACTGTCGATAATAATAATATCGTCATTATTATCGCCATCACCGCTACCACTACCATCGTCGTCATCACCATCATCATTTATCTTCATCATATAAATAACACACACAATAAAACCCTCCCTTCCCCATGGCTAGGCTACACGCGAAGGAAGTCCGTGGCAAGCTGCGCACTACCCGTGCTCCCGCTGTCCAGGGGGGCCACCGCCCGGGGGGCCCTGCTCCCCGCGGGCCGCTCGGAGTCCTCCGATGCACGGCTCAGCTCGCTCTCAGACTCGTCCGAGCAGCTGTCCCAAGGAGGGGGCGAAGTCTGGACCCCTGAGGCTCTGCGGGATGACGCTGAGGTAACCGTCGACGCGCCGAGGGGGAGGGCGGCGGCGGTGGCGCCACCATTTCCGCGGGGCGCGGGCTCGTTCTGCGGCGCGGAGGAGGATGAGGAGGAGAGCGATCGGTTTCCATCGGCTGGGTGAGTGGCGTCCGTCTGCGAGGTAGATGCTGCGTCATGATCGGGATCGCGTGCGGAGTGAGGTAATACTCGGGCGTGCTCTTTGGCGTATTGGGCGGCGCGCCGGGCGGAACGCTGCCGGTGCTCGCCGGAGCGCAGGTGGCGAGCGAGCGACTCGCGGCCGCTCAGTGTCGCGTCGCAGGCCAGGCAGCAGTGGATGTCGTCGGTGGGCGGCACGCGCACCAGCGTCTCCCTGGCGCTGGCGGGCCTCTGCCCGGCGTAGCAGAGCGAGCGCTGGTGCGCGAGCGCCGAGACCTCGTCGCCAAAAACCGCCTGGCACTTCCGGCACGCCACCCCAGGCTTCCCCGTCACCACCGTTACCACGTATATATCCAGCGAATCTGTGCCTTTGCTCTCGGTCAGCCTCGGCTTGTCGCTCCGTTCGTGCTCTCCTACGGACGGCTCCTTCCGTTGCTCCACTGCGTTCTGTACCACAACCCCAGGCGAGCCAAGCTGCTGCTGCCTCTGCTGCTGTTGCTGCTGTTGTTGCTGCTGCTGTTGCTGCTGTTGCTGCTGCTGTTGCTGCTGTTGCTGCTGCTGCTGCTGTTGCTGCTGCTGCTGTTGTTGCTGCTGCTGCTGATGCTGTTGTTGCTGCTGCTGTTGTTGTTGCTGATGGCTGAGAGCATCTTGCAAACTTTGCTGATATTGCTGATACTGCTGCAGCAGCGACCCCGGCGAGAGGCCCGCCGCCACGGCCTGCGAGAGGGCCGCGTTGTACGGGAAGAAGCTCGTCTCCATGCCGAAGAAGGGCGGCAGGTAGCCCGGCGGCAGGCCCGTGGCGGCCGACGTGGGGATCTGCTGCGTGTAGTACGGTGGGATTCCCGACATGATGTAGGGCAGGAACTGTCCGCCCAGCAGCGCCGCTGGGTCGACCGCTAGGGCGGCCTGCAGAGCCTGCAGCTGGGCGGGGTCCATGCCGCCGCCGCCAGCGCCGACGCTTCCTTCGTGGGCCGTCTGCGCCGCGGACGTCGACGCGACCGCCCCGCTCGTGCTGGGAAATTCGTTTTTGACTTTGCTCTCGGCATTTCTGTCCTTTCGTGCCACGTGCTCATGCACCTTCTCCTTGCCCTTCTCTGCAAGTTGCTCCTTCTCGAGCCTGGGGTGAGGCTTCGTGGTCGTGGCTGCGACCGTCAAGGTGTTCGACGTCTGAGGGTCGGGGCTCTTCAGCGGCTTTCCGGCGTTCACGGGCAGCGGCAGACCAGGAGAAGGAATGCCGGCAGTGGGCAGGCTGAGCACGCCGGCACCCGGCGCTGTCAGAGCTGCAAAGGTCAACGTGTTTGCATTAATGCACAAACAGCATTCATGAGCGTGCACAATACCAGTGAAGGCACAAATCTATGCTGATGAGCACCCCCCATATACAATGAGATCATAGCTTTGCGGTGCAAATTGCCGTCCCTTTGCCGTACGCCGGCAGCGACAATTGAGACGCGCAAGTGGCGAATACCTCGGTAGATATAGAGCGTTATAACATTCACAAGAAAGCTAGGAATCATAACGGCAACGGGAAAAAAAGTGCTCGCACTCACCCGAGGATACTGGGGGGAACCCTGGGAGGGACGAGTTGCCGGCCATGCCCGGCAGGAGCATGGGAGGCAGGCCGGGGTAGGAGGAAGCGGCTGCAGCAGCGAGGTTCATGGCCTGCATCTGCGAACCGTCGAACCCTCCCTGCTGCTGCTGCTGCGCCGAGGAGATACCGAGCACTTCGTTTGCCTTCTTGATGCGGTCGAACTCCTGCTGCGCCATGAGCTGCCGGACGGTCGAGGGATCCAGGTATTCCTTCTCGCGGTCGAGCTGGCTGCCCACGCTCTCCCGCACCTTGTCGATGTGGGAGATGGCGAACACGTGGTCCCTCACCGTCAGCCGGGGCCCGTACTTGACGCCGCAGACGGTGCACTCCATTTTGGGGCTGTCGTATTCGGGCTGGTCGATGCCGTACTGCTTGGCGAGGCTCAGCTTGGACTTCTTCTCCTTGGCACGGGCGTTCTGGAACCAAACCTGGACCACACGCTTCGGCAGTCCGATTTCATTGCCGAGGATTTCGCACTCTTGCATGGTCGGCGTGCGATAATCATTGAAGCAGACCTTGAGGACCTTCAACTGCAAGTTGGACATCTGGGTGCGGAAGCGTTTCAAGCCTGGCCTGTCTCCGCTATAAGACATTCCAGATGTCTTCGCTGTTGAGGAACCGCTGTTGCTCTGAACGCTGGGGGAGCCCGGGTCTGCTATGCTGGAGGTCTCGCTGTGATCCACAATGCCTTCGTTGTCATTATCCCGAGCACTGTAGCTCATGCCAGGGCTCACTAGACCTGCCCAGGACCTGTCATCGCTCCCTTGATCGCTGGTCGGAGTGGCTATCGATTGCTGTTGTGCGTCGCCACGTGCCGATGACTTCATGTCACTGAGCAGCCCAGAGTTGCTGTCTGTGTCATTATGTCCCTCGTCTCCTGTGGTGTTGTCTGTGATGGCCGTGTTAATAGAAGAGCAGTCGTCATTGTCGATCTTCCCGTGATCGAAACTCGTGTGAGCGGAAGAAAGAGTTGGACTCTCAATGTCGTCCATGCCCTCGACCTTCACGGACCCGGGGCTGAGGTTCGACCCCGGTGATAAATCGGATGGTTTGTTCAGCATGGATGTTGACTCGTGCGAAGCCATGAAGTCAGACATCATTTTATACGGTTGTGAGGTGCCCAGGTCATGCTGATCCATTGACCCGTCGTCTAACAGTTGCTGCATCTGAGCAGAAGATTCTGCTTCCTGGGAGGACGGCAAAGGGCCGAGGTTGTACCCGGCCCGCTTGGCCTCGTGCCAATGTCGTGAGCGGATGTGGGCCTCGAGCGCCGTTCGTGCTTTGAACAGAGCTCGGCAAAATGGACACCGCCGGTGAACCTGTGCGGGGCCCACGGCCCTGAAATGTCCCTTTCTCTCGCGCGCTCTGGTATTCTGAAACCAGACCTGCACCACGCGTTTCTTCAGCCCGACTTCGTGTGCAATGTGATCCAACATTTTACGAGTAGGATTCGAATCGAGCAGATATTTCTGGTATAATATCTCGAGCTGCTCCGGAGTGATCGTGGTTCTGAGTCGCTTGTCCCTCGGTTGGTCTTCGGAGTTGTTTAAGCTGTTGGTGGACGTGTCAGCATCTCCGAGGCTTCCCCCTGGGTTTTCGTCCAGCTTCCGTTTGAGGGCACTGCTCGCAGACGTTGACAAGGTGGGAGAGGACGCCGACTGGGAGGATGACTGTGCAGAGCTCAGGTTTGTCGTCTGCATAAATTGCCCTCCCATGAGCGGATTCGTCGGGTCAAATAACAGCAGCGGCATGTCAAGTCCCGGCGGCCGCTGGTCGATCAGCTGCGAATGCAAGAAGTGGCCAGGTGGGGCAAGATAATGCAGTCGCTGGTGCTCCTGCCAGAGCTCAAAGCTGGGCAGAACCATCTTGCACTGTTCACACTGGTAGTTCATTGGCAGCTGGGACTGCGATGAGGTCGGCAGTTGAAAAGGGTTTTGGGCAAATGTGGACGACTGGGTCGGTGTTAAAGACTCGGAGGCAGTCTGTGCTGGTCGTTTCAACGGAGGTTGCTGTTGCTGCAGTTGCTGAGGCAGGGAAGTTTCTGCTCGCTTTGGTTTCTCTTCTCTTTCTTCTTTGGGTTCAGGATTAACGTGTGGGGCCTTGACCCGAGGTTCAGCCTTCGTCTCTTTGTCTTTTTCTAGCACGTTGGGACTCGGAGGAGTTGCCGATGTTTGACCCGGAGTCCCAGAACTGGATGCGTACTGATGCTGAGATCCTTGATCCACGCCATCAATGGAATCATCTGCCTGACTGTCCAAAGCAGCTTCCTCTTCCTCGTCCCTGTAGCAGTGCCTCTTCTGGTGCGTTATGAGGTCAAAGATGCGCTGAAACACCACCTCGCACTTCTTGCACTGGTAGCTCATGTTCCCCGTGCGGATATACCGCTCACTGCCCGGCTCCTTCCGCTCAACTTGCTCCTTGCCGTCGCCCTGATTCTCGTAATTCTTCCGGGCTTTCTGTCGCGCGTTTTGAAACCAAACAACGATGACGCGCGTCGGAAGGTTCAGCAGCGTCGACAGCTGTTCGATCTCGTCGTCTTTTGGGTACGCGTTTGCATCGAAGAAATCCTGCAAAACTCTCAGCTGATAGTCAGAGAATCGAGTTCTCGAGGAACGTCTGCTGGAAGATTGGTCTGATTTTACTGACTCGGGTGTCTGTGGTTGTGACTCCATGATCTTCATCTCCTCCAGTGAGGTCGTGGGAGGATTGCTGAAGTTGTACGGGGAATCTTTGTTTCTCTGTCGCTCCTTGAACAACGTATTTCGGAACCAATGCTTAATGACCTTAGGTGGCAGACCGGACCTTTCGGACATTTCCTGTATCTGCTCATCGCTAGGAGAATTGTTGATATTGAAATGAGCACGCAAGATGCGCAGCTGATCGTCCGTGATTCGTGTGCGTGGCCGTTTGTTCTGCTGCTGCATGAAGTTGGCGTCCAGCTGCTGCTGGTAGAACTGAGCTAGCTCGGCACTCAGAGCCTCCACCGAAGTTGCTGCGGATTGCGAGAGGCCGGGAGGAAGTTGCATGGACTGCATCATGAGAGGAGAGAACAGCGGCATGTCCAGAGGCGGTGGCACAAGGCTGACTTGAGTTTGTGTTGGCTGAGGAGTGGTTGACAGTTGTGGCGCCATAGTAGGAAGCTTTGGGGACTGCTGTGGTTGTTGTTGGTGTTGTTGCTGCTGTTGCTGCTGTTGCTGCTGCTGTTGTTGCTGCTGCTGCTGTTGTTGCTGCTGCTGATGTTGGTGCTGCTGTAGAGGTAGAGGAGAAGGAGCAGACAAAGCTGACTGAGGTTGAGGCTGTGGCGGCTGAGGTGGTGGTACCTGCTGCTGCTGCGGCTGCATTTGGGACTGAGGCTGGTGCTGCGACGGGGTCTGCGCTTGGGGCTGCGGCTGTACATTTGCGGGTGGGGGAGGGAGCGGGGGCAGGGCGAGGGGCTCGGAGAGCATCGTCTCCATTGGGTACACCTTGTCGTACGTCTCGCGGTACTGGCTCGCGTATTTCTCCAGGTCGGCGAAGGGCAAAAATTGTCCGTGGATATGCTCCTGGTGGCTCTTGAGGATGAGAATGTGCGAAAAGAGTTTTCCGCACGTCGTGCACTCGAGCCTTTCGAGCGCTTCGCCGTTGTCGCCGTTGCGGCCGCGTCTCTGGGTCCGTCCCCGGTTCTCGTTGAACTGGATCACCAGCTCGAAACCAAAGTTCTCCAGCAGCGCCCGTGTGGCGTTGCCGCGGCAGCCAAACGGGATGCGAGGGGGCGGCATGTTTGAGTCCGAATGGCTCAGCTTTAAAACAGCCCTAATCTCGGATTGCGATCTGGCTTTTGATTCTAAAAACTCTTTTTCATCCGACTGTTCGTGCCTCTCCTCAGCTTGTTTCAGATTTATTGGCTGAGCGTCATCTTGCGATGAATAATGCATCATCTCGGAATCTTCCTTCAAAATTTGCATCTTATGCTGCTGCTGCTGTTGTTGTTGTTGTTGCTGCTGCTGCTGCTGCTGCAGGTGTTCCAGCTGCCTGTGCTGCTGCTCCAAACACTGCTGTTCAAGATCCTGTTGTTGTTGTTTTTGGTCTTGCTGCATTTGTTGTAGCTGCTGCTGTTGCTGCTGTTGCTGCTTCTGAGCTTGGTGCTTGAGCTCACCCAGCACGGCGCTGGCAGGCCCCTGCATGGCGACCGACGCAGACATGGGCAGCCCGAGGTCGGCGGGGTTGAATTGGAACTCGGTTCCTGGGATGTAAAAGGGCAGCAGGAACTGCTGTTGTTGCTGCAGCTGCAGCAGGGCGTCTGGCGAGAAAGGAAAGTGCGGGAAAAATGCAGGGTTGAAGAGCTGCGACTGCAGCAGGGCCGCCTGCTGCTGAAACTCCAGCTGGGCCTGTGCTTGTGCCTGCAGCTGTGCCTGGGCATGCGCCGCCTGCAGCTGTGCCTGCACCTGCACCTGAAACTGGGCCTGCATATGTGCTTGGGCCTGGGCTTGCATTGTTGACTGCACGGTCTGCTGCTGCTGCTTCTGCTTCATGCTCGATCCCTCAGATGACCGTTTCTTGTTCAGCTCCTTCTGCTCCATGGAGGACAATGAAGAACTTGCGGTGGCGCTGCTGCCGCCGGCGCCGCCGATGTTACCTCCGCCACCGCCGCTGCTGCTCTTGCTTGCGCCGCTGCTGCCGGTGGTGGCGGCGTTTGCCGCACCGCCACCAGTCACGTCAGGCGCGGCCGACTTGCCGGAACTCGCAGTCGTCGCGCTGCCACTGCTGCCCGATCCGCTGCCACTCGCCGCCTCCAACTTGGCCGCCCTCGCCCGGGTCTGGTGCAGGACCGACCTCATGTGGATCTCCAGCGTTGAGCTCTGACTGTAGGCCACGTTGCAGGTCATGCACTTGTAGGGTTTGTTGTCAATCCCGTTGGCCGGTTCTGACCGCTCGCCTCCGGAGCCGGGGCTCGACGATTCCTGCAGGGCCTTCTTCAGGCGGTGCAGGTGTGAGACGGAGTTGTAGTGCACCAAGAGAATGTTCTTCTGGGTGAAGGACTCTTTGCAGACGGTGCACTTGTACGGCCGCGAGGGGTCCAGAAACTTCTCCATGGCAAAGCTGGTGCACTTGCGGGGAATCACAGCTCGTTTGGCCTCCATCGTGGGGTCCTCCTGGCCGAAGATCCCTCCGTCGCTTCCCGTGGGGCTCTGCTTCCCGTCGGGGTCGCTGTCCTCATCCTTGTCCGCCTCTGCCGGGAGGGAGAGCTCCTCCTCCGTCTCGGGTAGCGACTTGAAGTCGCCGTTGGCGATCTGCAGGCTTCCGCAGAGCTGCTGCACCTGGATGTCGGCCAGCTCCGGGTGGCTGGTCTCCAGGTGCTTGCGCAACGCGGGGATGGAGCGGAAGCTGCGTTGGCAGAGGGCGCACGCGGTGGCGGCGCGGATGACGTGGTACTGCAGGTGCGCCTGCAGCCGCTCGGGCGTCTTGAAGGCGAGGCTGCACTGCGGGCACCGGTGCTTGTAGACGTGCCGGTCGGACACGGGCAACTGCACCCGCTTCGTCACGGAGTCTCCCGCCAAGGAACCTTGCGTCGCGCCCGCAACCCTCGCATTGCTTTGCTGCTCTTCCTTTTTGTCATCTTTGTTCGTGGTCTGCTCGCCGGACCGCTCCGTGGCATGTTCTGACAATTCGCGCGAGGTGCCAGCCCTCTCGTAGTCTTCCTTATTGCCTGCGGACAGCAGTAGCAGCATCAGCAAAAAAAAAGTTGCACCAGAAATGAAAACTACTGTCTAGTATGAGATCAAGACGAGCTAAAAAACATTGCACATTTTCATAACCAGACTGACCTTACGATGCTGGAAACTACATTTATGGCTTCATTTTGTATGCACACACCAAGGTCGTCTCTGTTCATCCCATTAATTTTTCACTACACGAGTCACCTTTTCCATTAGTGACAGTGACTGCATAAAATGACCTCGCATTAAAAATTAATGCAGGTGGACGTGGGAGTAATTGCATTTTAAACTGAGCGATGGATAATGCAGTAGGCAAGTTTGTTTTCAGCGGCTGGTTCCCAAAACATTTTGGTTCCTGTTGCACCCAATTTTCGTTGCTTAATTAGAATGCACAGTATTACAATGTACTCCCGTCTTTTTACCTCTCTATGCCAAATTAAATATAAAATTTAATTGGAATATATTTTAGACGAATTAAAAGTTATTGTTAAAAATAATGCAACGTTACGCCGAATTAAATCAAATTAATGTTATTTTCAGACAGAAGGAATACAATTCTCGAGTAAGGTAGATTCAAATTATTAATTCCAATTGTCATTATTTTATTGCAATCTCAGAGCTGCAGTCTTATGAAAAATAAAACCTTGGAGCTATACCCGAGTTTTTGCCTCGGTTTCATTCAAAAATTTGAGGCATTATTTAAAATGCCAATGGCTTTTGTGAGGCTGAACACATTTTTCACAAGTGCGGGGGCCTCTCTCAGAAAAGGGGGGGTGGGGGGACGGACACCTTACCCAAGGGTTTTGTCGCGTCCTCAGCAGCGACTCTCACGGTGCTGTTGTGTTGGTGTCCATCGCCCTCCGACGCCCCGGCAGGCAGGAACGCAGAACTCGGTACCATCATCTCCGGTGACGACATCTAAAGGCGCCGAGCGGCAGAAAGCGGCATCGTTAGCGGCGGCCGCAGAGCCGCTAACCACCGCCGCCACCACCGCCGGGTAGTGAACACCACGTGGTTCCCTCCATTCACCAAAACTTGCAAACCGTCTCCCCCCCCCTCCGCGCCCCCCCCCCCCTCACGTTATTCTAAATCTCCGTGCAATTTCGACGACTTGGTGGACGGCGACAACACAAACCGTCACAGAAATAACACAAACGCCATCGTGCACTAATGGCACAAGTGGCTGTGAGGTGGTGGTGGTGGGGGGGAGAGAAAAAACATCCACCGGCGTGGGACAGCGCGGTTTCACGTAACCGTGCTTGGCTCGCCTTCCCTTCTCTCTCCCCGCCCGCCTCTGCCAGGGCCACGCCGTTTGGCTACGCGCGCTCAATTAGCCGCCTCGCCAAGAAGCAGTGCTCAATGGGGGGACAAGCACATAATGGAGGGCTCTTAATTAAAGGCACACATTAAACATGGAGCCCCTGACACAGCCTCCAGTTCCTGAGCCACATTCTGGAGCCTTTAAACGAGACGATAAAAATTGCTGCTCTGTCAAAAAAAGAAGGCTAATTGTGCTTTAAGGTTATGTGAGAAACTGTGCAAAAGGTGAGCTGCATCGTTTTGACTGTAGCCAGCACGGGGTACATGTGTTACAGAGCTGTTTATTGGAAATTTGACATCCATCGCCATGCTTGGACTACAAATGGGTTCTGTTGTTGTAACATTAGCCGATTCAATTTGGGTTTTATGCAATGTCGCTTGTGATAAATGCAACCATCATCCATTCTCTATCCACACTGCTCAGCCTCCGCGTCTGCGCATCTTTCCTTTTCCGTGGTCCCGTAACTCTTCTTATCAATTACTTGTTACGCCTTTTGCAGTTTTCACAGCCGATGGCTCAGATTTTTTTGGTCCAAGTTATTATTTTCCTCCCGCGGTTTCTGTCTCTGTGCAATGCCGAGTGTTCAACTTGCGGTTTCATATTCACCCCCTGTGACACCTAAGTTGACAGTGACCGTGTTTCTGGCTCAACGTGCGATGCTGCCCGAGAGTACAGATTGATTTGTCGATGTTTCCACTTCAACACTTAATTAAGCATGCATGGGTTTGAATGTTTATTTATTTAAAATATGCCCTGGGTTGGTTCTGTTTAGGATTGAATGTGATTTTATCTTCAAAACTCAAACGAAATTGGTTGAATCAAGCGAGTTGTGCATGCAGACCACACGTCCTGATATTCGTTGCAAGTACCGAAAATGCTATGGCAGAAGAATAATCGTGGGTGCTTCATTTTCTCTACTGTTTAATATCGCTGGTATGTAAGCATTAATGCGCTCGATAGTGAGAGATCTACAGGGTGTCCCATAAGTCTGGAATCTTCGGGAAAAAGAACTCATTCATATTTCCCTGGTCATTGGATAGGACGTCGAGGGCCTGTGAATGGCCAGCGAGAATCCGTGACCTCACACCGATGGATCTTTAGCTCTCAGGTCACTTGAAGACGCTGGCCAACACGGAGAAAATTCCGAGTGAACATTTGCGGCAGCGCATTATTGACGCATGTAACACCGTTGCCCCTAATACCGTTAACCGTGTGCTTGCTGACTGGGTATCTCGTCTGGAGTTGTGTATCAGGAACAAATGTGGACACGTTGCACACGTTCTGTGAATAAAAGCGCTATTATTGCCTTTTTTTTATTATTTTTCCTATGATTCCAGACTTATGGGACACCCTATAGAGCCGAGAATCGGGCTATATTCTCACTTCTACCAAACATCAATGGTGTGCACCCCACAAGGGAGCCCTGCACCTCCCAGTTCGAAACCCGGTAGGCACAATATTATAATGATTCTAGAACAGTATATATATAGTAAATAATAAATGCATGTGTGGGTAGGGGGATGGGTATTTTACTTAAAATAAATATTCACATTTTTTCCGAGCAAATATCAAAGCAGGAACATTTATTTTCATTCTATAGCACTAAAACTGCGTGAAACATGGGAAGCTGGAATGGGTTTTTCATGTCAATTTTATACGATTGTGCCATTGACTGCAGTTTATAATCATTGTATTATCTGATTTTGTATTACTTAACTAATAAACGATTGTATAATAAGTTATCACTCTGTTGTTTTATAATCATATTCCTATAATTTAAATGAGATTATAATATGGTATGGGCTATTCATATTAAAATAGCTCAGAATTTAATTTGGGTCTGATTGGACTGGACATAACTGGATCTGGTCAGATCCAGGAAGGGAAGAGTCTGAGCTTCATTGAACTTGCCTAGATCCACGTCTTCCATTAGCTGATGGAACAGACTTTAAACACGTGTAATCTACAACACGTTGTTTGGTGATACTACGAATTTCAGTGATGCACAAGCCCAAATAATAACTCAACACGTCCGTCAATAACACCGTGAGGCCATAAGAGGACAAATATGCAGGAGGCGACGTGAGGGCCAATGGCCCTGCTTAATGGCACATAGACAGAGAGGCCAAGGAGATGAGGATAGCTGAAGAATTCACGACACAAGTGCACCATGGGGGCCCACCCTTATTCATCATTCTTCTCCACTCTCTCTGGCTGTGTTTCATGAAGAAAATGTCACGTTTCATTTTATGATCGTGTGGAGTTTCATATTTTTTAAAATTACAGTACAGTATCTCAGTTTTAATTAATCGGATTAAATTTTCATATGTATAAGCAGAGATAATGTTTGCCTACCTTTTCGTCTAATTGGAATTAAACATTTGTATTTACGTGGCAGATGTGTGATGTCAGCAACTCCTAGGAAGCCAACATTGTCCACCGTGTACCCAGATGTTCATCGCTGCTGTCAACAGAAAGCCATCAGCCTGATAGACCGCCTCTGTAAAATATCTTCAAGAACAAACGTCTGAACGAACGCTCACGAAACCGCAAACGTAGAAGAGTCTTCGGTGATAACATCATCGAGATGTCTTCAGTGTAAAAACACGTGAAGACATCCATATGGACGGTGGAATACATTCTGCGGACTTATTGTTTTAGGAGAGAATTTTAATTTATCGAGGTTCGGATATTAAAAATTTAAGACCCTTTGTTTGTAATGGTGTTCTTATAAAGGGGAGCACTTAATAGAAATGGGGAATGTTTATTAAATTATTTGCTTACTCTAATCATTAATATTCATTTTTAATATACTAAGGAGAAAGAGGGTTTGTGAGTGCAGACTTAACAAATCAATGTATAATCCAGGATTAAAGAGCACATTCACATCTGTCCTGGAATTAGGGCAATGCAATATACAGGACCAAACCTCCATCATACTCTCTTCTTAATAATCCCTTCTGCTACTATTATGGTATACTGCTGTGACCTTGGACGTCACCAAAATGAAAATAGAAATATTGGCTAATAGTTAATATTAATACGTCTAAAATGGAAAACAGAACTCAATAAACACAACGTGAATTGCTATATATAACACACACCACATATACACAAGTACTATATATGTAAATAAGAATAAACACACATACACGCCACATATATATGTACATAAGATATGATTATGTACCGCACTGAGATATATTCAATAGGAAACCATCCCAATAAAACATTGAACCTTTGTTCCACCCCAAATAAGTGTTGTTTAAAAAAGAATGTAAGCAACGTGCATACCACTGCTTTGATGGCAGCAGTTTAACTCGCTGTAACTTCACAGAGGCCCTCTGGTATCCTCATACACTGTTGGGGACCGTGCGATTAGCAGGCACCTATTAAGGGTTGTGTGCCACACACGGGAGCTCAGCAGCGCCACGGTGTCGAGATGTTAACTACCTCGCCGGGTATACAGGAGGTCATGGGTTCGATCCCAATCTTGACGCCTGCTGTATATTTGGAGTTTGCAAAGTCCTCCCCGTGGTCGCGTGGATTTTTCTGCGGGTCCTTCGGATTTTCCCTCCACACTTAGAAAAACGCGTTTAAGAGTTTTTGGCTATAACTTACCATGTGCGAATCGACTTCGTTGAGCTAGCATTTGTGCTTGCCAGGTTACTTCTGAAAAACAGCTAATAACTCAGTGGGCCTTACCTGGGAAAATAAAAATGTTTCGTTAAGTTTACACCACCCTGGGGAACTCATTTTGGGTTGAGTTGGCACGGAGTGAGACACAGGCCGGGCCTGGATATCAAATCGGCTTTTGTGAAGAGAACGTCCAGGGGTTGAACTTAAGTCATGGGAACTGAAATGCAGCATTATAAACATGACACCGCTCCCTAGCACGGTGCGTGTGTGTAAATAAGCATATATACACACGTATATATACACACGTATATATACGCACGAAGAGTTGTCGTGTAGCGGTTCGCGCGCTGAGCTTTGAACCTGGAGACCTGAGTTTGATTCCCGCTCATGGCTCCCAACACCAGTGACGATTATCTGAACCGGTCCTGAGCTTCTCCTTGGGACCGGTTCTTTAAAACAGTTTCTTGTGCTTAGTTTGTTGTCCTTCCCCCCGCACCTCCGATTAGCACAGTTGGCTACGTACGGTGCGAAAGAAGGTCAACGTACATAGGAATCGATCCTGGGCCTCCCCTAGGTCGACTCAGTCTCAAATGGGTACCTGGTGCGAGGTGCGAACATGCCCACTGGGGAGAAAAAGGCGGCCGCGCGTGGTGCTGACCATCCACCTACTTGTTTCCCGTGCAGACCTACATAGGTGCTCGCTAACAGCACTTGCCCCAACAGTCTATTAAGGCTAGGGGGTTCTATGTATTTTTACACGAACATATATGCCACTATACTGCTGTATAATATAAAGAACCTGGAATCAAGTTGAACAAAATACAGTGCTACAACATCCAAGTTTGTTTTTGTCTTTTCTCTGCAAGATCTGCATGCATAAAGCACTAAATGCACAGTAATTAACTTCACATTCAGTGATTTAGCAGGTAACAGCTACTTCAAATCATTTTAGCGGCATCCAGAGGGTCTCATTCGGATATGAGAGTTGCTTCTTGGTTTTTTCTTTTTAATCGAGCGAAACCTCATTTACAAAATTATCCTCCAAAAAGACAGGGGTGAGTAACCGGGTGGACAGAGCAAAAAAAAAAGGAATGTAGTATTTATGATAAACCTCTTAGCTGTACGGCGGTAATCCTCACAGGAAAGATAACATCGTAAAATGAATCAGTCATATATAAATTTTGACAATTTGCTGAATTTACACAAAGGTAATGGCATCACGAGGGCGATAACTTGTGTACAGATTAAGCAACTTAAAGGCACCTTGATGAGAAGGGAATCGTAAAACGGCTCGCCGGCTTGGCCGCCGGTGCGCTCCCCATCGCTGATGCGGTTAAAAAGAGCCACATATGGTGCATAATAGCTTTTTAATAAATGTCCTTGGCCGGCAGCGTGATGAGCCTCGGCCCTCGGTCCTGAAATGGCGCATGTTGCCATGGTGCGGAGTGGGATGGGAGGCAGTGGCAGCACCTGCCTGCAGCCACGAGGGCGTTGGGGCGTTCGGCGCGTCAACGGCAGCCATCGCTCGTCGCCGCGGAGAGACGCGGCCGGTCTGCCGGGTCTCGTCCCCTCCCTTAGCACCCCACCACACTCCGCTCACCACCCCCTCCCCCCGCTGACAACGCCCTGACGTAGGTGGGAATGCTGCGCCCGTCGACCAGAAATGAAGGCGGTCGGCTCGGTCGGTGAGTCTCACAGAGATTCGGCAACAATGCGAGCCGACTGGGGGATCGAGAGGCCTGGGCAGCGCTGCAGTTCTGAGTGGTCGTGTTCACAGTGTTCACGTGTTCACGGCGTTTCAGCATCTTATTGCGTGCATGGTTTGCCTCACAGGTAAGCCATGCTCTCAAAAGAATTGGCCAAACATCCTAAGTAAGTCTATTCTATCGTGTATAGATTATGATTACCTTTTCTGAGGAACAATAGGTAATGTTTATGAAAATGTTAGTTTTTTTATTGGAACGTCTGCATCTTTGACCTATCGGTGTTTACGCTGCACCTTCTCATCACGTGTAATTATCCCAACCTTGCGACGTTTACAAAAAGCCACCCTAGCACAAGCCATGCATTGGCAGGTGCCATCATTGTGAAACAGCAGAGGCATTTGCGAGAAAAAAAATACCCCGCAGTACGAACCTTGAAAACAAATGGGGGAGGTGGGTGGGTGGGCGGGCGGGGAGGACCAATTGCGCCAGAGGATAACCCGGAGTAATTTTAGAAATGCAAAAAGAGCAAACACAGGTAAAAAAGAAAAACATCACCGATGCAATGATCTTGTCGACGCAGTCCGGGGCGACATTGTGCAGATGGGTGAGGTGCAGCTGCAGATGAACTTTGCTCCCGAGCAGGTCCTGGCAGAGTGGGCAGCGTAGCGCGGGTTGCACCGAGTGCTGAGACACCACGTGCACGCGGATGCGCGCCGCGTCGCCGCTCTGGTACGTGCAGTACGGACACTGGAACACCTGCGCCAAACGCGTGGCAAGGTTCACCGCATGGAGGGAGTGGGGGGGGGGGGCAGGAGGGGGGGAAGAGATAGGTAAATAATTAAATAGAAAATAAACGCAGGAAATACGTTCAGCGGCAGCTTGCTCCATCGCGGCGGAGCACAAAACAAATCCACACACAAAAAAAATGACTGGAGGTATTTTTAGATATTTCAATTGCAGCCGCATTTTATTTTGACTCCCTGTCACGATTGTGATGGATTTCGTGGTGGTTTAGTGACACAAATGCTGTGAAATTGTGGGACGGAAAAAGTGACTAGCCCCAGGCACATCTTTAGATTGTGCGCTGGTATGTATCTATATAGGGTAGAGGTAGAGACGCAGCCCTCAGATTTGGAGGTAGCTTGCTCTAGAGGATATTTTGCCTACTCTTCCACATTGTATATATGTATACAAATATTTACACGCTGGGTGAAATGGGTATTTTTTTGTACTTTTGTATAAATAAGTAAAATACTATTGAGATTACCTACCATGGAAACGTTCAACGTTTTCACAACAGCATTAAAAAAAACGACGCTTTTCATTCCTACCTCCATGTACCACGGCGATCGTTTCTGCGCAAGCACAAAGACCGGATGTTTTGCCTCGGCCATTCTCGACATTTGTATGTCTTGATGCAGGTCGCAGTCGGTGAGCAAGGTACAAGCACGTTCACCCGCGGGAGAAACGGTTATCAGCAAATGTCACTGGCTGCGTATGTGCAGCATAGACATGCACGCGGGGGCGGAGCGGTGGCGCAGTGGTTTAGCGCGTTGCGCTGTAAAACAAGCGACGTCAGGGCCGACTGGTCGCGGGTTCTCTATCAACCTGCAATGACCTGGTGAAGTACGGTCATATAACTGCAATGGCCGACATGGCAAGGATAAGGCTCCATCTAAAAGTGGAGAGAAAGTATTGCCTTAGTTTAATTAGCATTTGTCTCTGTTTGGTCGCCCTGGGAATTCCACATTCCTATGACAGGAGAAATATATCCATACGACAACCAACACGGAATCCCCGTAAATGTGTGATCGTTTTTCACCCTAAGGAGATGCAAATAATGCAGCATAGACATACAGTGTGGCAAAACTATAGTTTTGAGGCATAACGGCAGAAATATATGCCACGTCAGCCACAGCCTCACCAAAGTCTAATCCTCCTGGCAGCCTTGAATGTGCTTCGTATGATTTAGGTTATATTATAACCTCTTCAATGAGGCCAAACCTGAAAAGTCAAGGCCTTACCAGAATCAGCACCTTTTGATCTGTGTTATTATTGTGCCAAAATCATCTATCACGTGAGTAACATCACTCAATCACAACCCTCGATTATATACGCTGTATGGGTGTGTCACAGTCCTAGACCACACGTACTCCGATTAGCACGGTTGGCTAAGTCCTGTGCGAAATAAGTTCAACGTACATACATACTTCTACGATATTTTTTATATCAAATCTACCACAAATTACTAATTCAGCCACGCAAAAAAAATCTAACCTCTAAAGATAGACTTTTCTAGAAACAATCTGGCTCTACACAAGGCCGTCTAGAGCGATGCGTCTTGCTTTCACGTTCAGGTTTGGTGTGTGTGTACACATGAGCAATGCAAAAGCAAAATCTGTTGGCGCTATATCATTTGGACATCTAGCAAATTAAAATAAGGACATGCCTTTCTTGTTTCATTTATGAGCCCTCACGGTCAAATTCGTTAATCCATTCACTTGATTGAAACAACTGTAAGTTGCACAGTGGATATTACTGGTAGGAACCTCCTGGTTACACCAGCCCACAGGGGATTATCGTGTCCGTCCGTCCTGCATCCAAAAATGGGAGGGGTGGGGCTGAGTGGAGAGGGGCTGGGTGGGGAGGGGCTGGGTGGGGAGGGTGGGGAGGGGCTGGGTGGGGAGGGTGGGGCTGGGTGGGGGGTGGGGCTGGGTGGGGGGTGGGAGGGGTGGGGCTGGGTGGGGAGGGGCTGGTCACCCCGTGGTGATCTTATAACAGGACCCTGCGGGGTGGGCTGGTAGGAACGAACAATTGAATGGCTATAATAAAATGAAATGGCAAAAAATGGCCGCCAATAAGTGGATGCCCCGTGGCCCCGCCCTCCACCCGCGTAACCCCGCCCCGGCCACCAGTGGCCCCGCCCCATCTCGGTGTCCCCGTCCCCAGCTCGTTGCCCCGCCCCTTACCGCCGTAACCCCGCGTAGCCCTGCCCTCCACCTCGTGCCCACGCCCCCTGCCGCCGTTGCCCCGCCCAGCCCCGCGTAGCCCCGCCCCCTGCCGCTGTAGCCCCGCCCAATACACCCCTAGCGGGGGAGAGATTCCCAGGCCTGGCTCTAAGCTGGAGAGCTGCCGACGAGGGGGGGGGTAGGGAGTTGTTTTTAATGTAAAAGCTTTAAATTTAAATGTTTCTATTAAAAAACATCAGGGAATGTAACATTGTTAAACATTAACTCCCTTTCACACACGCGGGGGAACTATACGAAGGGAGAGTTTGAGGCCTAGTTCTAGGCTTTAGGCCTAGCTGTAGGCCGCCGTGAGTTAATTGTTAATTTAAATGTTTTAATTATTTATGTAAAAGCTTTAAATGTAAATGTTTCTATTTCAAAACATCAGGGAATGTAACATTGTTAAACATTAACTCCCTTTCACACACGCGGGGGTACGATACGAAGGGAGAGTTTGAGGCCTAGGTCTAGGCTTTAGGCCTAGCTGTAGGCTTTAGGCCGCCGTGAGTTAATTTTTAATTTACAAGTTTTAATTAAAAGCTATCTCAGGGAATTATAAGGGAATGTTACACTTGTTTAGCCAGGAAAGCCTCATTAATTTAAATGTTTTAATTAAAAGCTATCTGAGGGAATTATAAGGGAATGTTACACTTGTTTATCCAGGAAAGCGTCACTGAGTGTAAAGGTTTTTGTAGGGTCATGCCAAGTAGTTTGCAGTAGGGGGCGATGTTGCTACACGGACGGACGGACAAACGATATAATCTATTGTAGGCTGGTCCACTTCGTTCCTACCAGTAACACTCAACCTATAACCTACTCACGCCGGCTTGTGCCCGCCCTCACAGTCGGCCATATTTACGGAATACACCACGCCGCCGTTGACCCTGGCCATTGATCGAGCAACCCAACGTTCCTACCAGTTCCCTCCGTAGGAATGTGTTGTACAACTCCCTCCAATACGAGCTCACTTTTTGCCTTCTTGTGGTGAGGGCGCCACGGCGGCGAGATGTTGACTACCTCGCCTGGTATGCAGGAGGTTGTGGTTTCGATCCCGACCCTGGCACCTGCTGTATATTTGTTGTTTGCGTGTCTCTCTCTCTCTCCTCGTGGTTGCGTGGATTTTTCTCCGGGTCCTCCGGTTTTTCCCTCCACATTGAGAATCAACATCGCGCATTCAGAGTATTTGTCTGCTATACATTTCCACGTGATACGCTACTTCGTTGAGCTATAATTTATGTGAGCCAGGTCGCTTCTGAAAAATAGCCACACGGCTCAGTGGGCTTTACCTGTTGATATAAAACTAGTAAACAGTAATAGTTACCGAATTCTTAAACGTCCACATTAAGCATGAACATGAAAATCGGCAACGGACACAACGACGTTCGGGCATGGCACTGGGGCCCACCACCCTTCGTAATCCATGGTGACTTTGAGAGTTGCTCACCAACAACAACACTTGCTCCAAAGGTCTATGAGGCTAAAATGGGGTTGTTGTTTTTTTTACACAAGGAGGCCCAGATCAGGTTCAGGTATAAATTGGCAGTGGTTTGGTGACGAATCAAACTCAGGGTACTTGTCACTAAACAACTGCTCCCCCATACAAAGACCCCCCCCCCCCCCCCACCGTGTAGCCTTCACAGGCTTTTGGAGCAAGTGCTGTTGGCCGGCAGGGCACACGAGAGGGTGGATGGCCAGCAACACGCCTGGCCGCCTTTGTCTCCCCAGTGGCGATGTTGACACAATGCACCACTTGATCATTTGAGGCCGAGTCGACCTAGGGGAGCCCCAGGACTGGTTCAGATATAGTCACCTATACACACGCTCCCCCATACCCACACACACTAACACAATTGGTTTCATTGCTAAGAAGTGAGAAACTATACTGAAGCTGAAATGAGGAGCGAACCTGTGAACACACAGCATGAGCTTCATTCATTTCCGTGGAAAGTTTATTTTTTAATGGCATTGCTGTATTTTAAGAGCATTGCTGCTGCTTTCAGAAATACCGAGGTCGTTTTCAATTGTGTATTGCACTTCGAGATGAGAGATTATATCTTTCGTGTATTTGACTGGAAAAATCTGCCATTGTTCCCAATGTTGATAATCCACAAATCCAGAGATTCGCCTTCTCCTCCGTCCACCTTGAAGAACAGCAAAAGTGTTCTTGCCAATTGTCATTGTGCAGAGTGTCTATTAAGCTGATAAGTCTCTTGATGTCACGCATGGACCGAGTGATAGGGATGTCCTTAAGTCTTCCTGCCGACCCCCAGATGCCACTCTGCCAATTGTTATTCCTCTTGTGTGTCCTTGCAGACTCGTGCCAACACTCCGATTAGGGAGTTGGAATCAAATGCCGCTGTTGTCGTGATTCATATTTTGCCTTTGGGTTCGGCCATTCGTGGTAGCTGTGGCAAGGATGTTGGCATCAAAACTACCTACATGGCCTAACCCAAAACAAATACGGATCATTATATTGGCTACAAAAAAAACCGACATTTTAAATTAAGCACGGTTGTCCTTCTATTCAACAGCTGGTGGAGGTGTAAACGCGATAGGGGTTTTAACAAGGTTAGCGCCGTGAATGCCGCGGTAAGCCACGATACAGAGGGGAGACTCTGGCAGGCCAATTATTTACTTCTGCAGACACAATGAGGTTGTATCACCAAGCACGAATACACAGCTCGAATGTGAACGCAGATGCCAGGTAATTTCTGCAGCAAATCTTCCTCTGAACATTCCCACACGGACATTAATGAGTGACTGGCTGCGGCCATCATGATGAGCACGCGCGGCCTGCGTTTCTCTGCGAGCAGCAAACCTCCACATTCGGGGGTCACCGTCGTATGGTGGACATCAAACGGGAGCAACCTCGCACTCAGGCGCGGTCATGAGTGACCAAATCCAGAACCGAAATCGCGGCCGCCACAGGTGCGAGTGTAACTGACAGCTGGATTGCTTCAATTGTGCGGGCTGCATTGGGCAGCGTGTGCTCCTCAGCGGCCTTGCCGACCTTTCGGAGCCGGCCACGTTCGTCCACACCGTTCCGAAGCCTCGTGAAAGAACGTCCGTTTCCCCGGCTCGCCCGTAACAAACAACAACAACCCGCGCGTACGAACACCGCTAAATGTATTTATAATTACCGCTGCGCTTCACGAGGGAAGGAATAAACGGCGCTCATTAGCGCCGCATAGAAACACGCGGGACAAAAAAAACCCACCGCTGGCAATTAGAAATGCACACCAACCTCACGCTTCCACAGCCAGACTGCGGAAACCTTTCCCGATGAAAACGACGCCACATTTGGCAGCGATAAAAAAGGCAGCAATCACACCCAGGTGTGTGTGTGCACGTGGGGTGGCACCAGCGACCGCTGACACCGCACCTGCTGCTGTTGCTGCTGCTGGTCAGGCTTGCCGCCGCCGCCGTCTTCCGTAGCTTTGGCTCGTTTTGGTGCGACGCTTTTGTCCTCATCCCCGTCGGCTGGCACCCGTTTCCCCGCTGCAACTCTGCCGCTCGCATCTTTGGTTCCATCCCCAGCACCTGAGGCAGACACCAAGCACGCGACACGCTGCAACATGTGTATTGTACGCTCGTTGAACTTCTTTCGCACCGTACGTAGGCAATCGCGATCATCAGAGGTGCGGGCGGAGGAAGGACAAACCAAACGCAAAAATCACTTCTTAGGAAATTAGTTTTCAGTCTAAAATCTATGCCAGCCTTTGGGTCTCTGTGCGATGAGTCTATGGGTCTCTGTGCGATGAGTCTATGGGTCTCTATGTATATTTGTATGTTGAACTTCTTTCACACCGTACATAGCCAAGCACTCTAATCAGAGGTGTGGGGGAAGAACAACAAACTAAACACAAAAAGTAATTCTATAGAAATGAGTTTTCAATCTCATGATTTAAAAGTACAAATCTCCAGTGGCTTCCGAATATCTGAAGGAAAAGCGTTCCAGACGGCCGCAGAGGCCCATCTGAAAGCGCACGATGCAGTGACCGGCTTTGTGTGTTTTTGTTAAAATCTTTATTTAATTATTGTTAATTTTTTCATCGTATTCTAGTTTCATTAAGTTCCATCACATGGAAGCGTTGTGCTCGGGATAGCCTGTGTAGGGTGGAGTGGTTCTGTGATACGTGGTCATTTATGGCATTATTTTGTATCTGCTCGTATTACCATTTTAAGGCAGTCTGAAAATATTAAAATAAACATCCGGCAAGCCTTGATACAAAGCGATGCTTGATACATGGTGATTTGATCGTGATGTTTAAATTACCCCATGCAGACTAAGGTTTTTTTTTTACTTGAACGTCTTCTCTGCACACGAATACCATTGAACCGTTTTACCTATGGCAGCAGCCACAAAAAGGCCCCACTATTTTACACGAGGACCCAAATATGTACAAGGTTATCTTGTTTTGCCCTGCAAAGCACGCACCCTCTTATAATTGCGGGACGAGGGTATGCATACCGCCATCAAACATGAAACTGCAATTTCAAAAACGCTCGCGCACTGTCAAATTAACTTGGGTGCACAATCACCACCATTTTCTGGTAGTTAGTGTGGGAATGCTCTGGACGGCATGTGCATAGCTAACAACACACACACACACAAGTGGTCCCAAATCCTCGCCGCTATGACATCATCGGAATATTGATATCGTCGAGGAAGGCTACTCAATTATTTTCTCACAAACGTTATAATTGTGCAGCGTGTAGCAAATTAAAACACGTGAATTGATACGTGAATTGATGCGTGGATGTAACCCCCCCCCCCCCCAACCTCGTGCTGCTTAAAGAAATACTACACGATTTATAATAACAAAAATCTAAAGAGAAACGTGGGGGGAGGGGGGGAGAAACCCAATTATATAAACTAAAGCAGCCTTTTTATTAATAACACCACATTGTACTGTCCTTGACAGTGCTTCAACGGAGGCTTTCAAAGTGCAAGTGGGAGCGGTGCAGAGTTTGCAGTTTTATGTTGAGTAAATTAATCCCTACAATGCCATTACAGCGCCGCAGCAGTTACACAGCCACCGCCATTAATTACCCATGTCGGTGGAGTGAGCAGTTTGCTCCTCAGGCAGTGAAAATTATCTGCTTTTCCAAAACGATCAGCCACTGTGGTTTTGCCTTGAGTCAGCACGTCCGCAAGCCCACCAATTCCTGCATCCAAACAGTGTTGTCTTTTTTTTTAAAGAGCCCTGAACATGAATTTAATAATGTATTTATTTTCTTACCTAATTCATGTCTTTTTTTATGCAGCCTAAATGGAGGCTGCTTCTGCACGGGATGCATTTCAGAGATGCTGAGTTGCAGTTTTCTTTTTATAGAGGGGGGGAATCAAAGGAATTAAAATGAAGCTGAGGAATTGGAGTCATCCTCGTGTATAAAACGATTGCTAAATTGCGTTTCCTTGCCTAGCATCATTTCAAATCACTTGTATTGTTACTAAACAAATTACACTAATTGCATGGCGGTACACTGTTGCACTGTTGTACTGATAGTGCAGAGTTAAAAAAAAAACCCAAATAATTAGACAATTGGTTGCTTTTGTACCCACAGGAGCACCCTGGGGATGGTCGTGTTTATAGCTTCAAACCAAATCTACGGAATTGATTTTATTCTTTCTACATTAAGAGTATGCACCGGAGCTTTCGGCGCAAGAGCGAATCTCCGCGCGCGGACAGCGTCCACGGACAGGTTATGGTTAAACGCACGCACTGCCGCCCCGACAAACGAGAGGAGCCCGCGCCATGCAATTGGTTATTGGATTAATCAATTAATGAGCAAGACAGCTGTTGAGGTTACTTTCAAATCAGATTAAAGACATATAAAACAAAGTCCACTTCAAGTCAGCTAGTTTACTTTGCTGATTAACCCATACGGGGGTGGGGGGGGCGCAAGGTTTGTCTGAGTAAACACATAATTAATATTATTCAGTCAATGTATCTCATTGAAAGTTCTTTGACATCAAACAACAACAACGCATTTCCGTTTCAAAATGTACCAAACTTCAAATAAAAAAATCTGAGCAATTAAAGCGAATTACAGAGCAAAACTATCTGCTCGCGATTTCATATTTACTACCACCGCTCTAATTACATGCAAATAAAGGACCAAGACACCCCCCACACGCTAATGAAAAACACAAGATGAAAGTAAGACAGAACCAATGGGCAAGTCTTAAAAGATGAGTCAGACAGAAAAGCATTTAATTGCTGGCTGAACATACACTGGGCTCATTACACAGCTCAGGAAGAGGCTCCGCGGCCTCCGATCGATGCTATTCCCTCTCCGCCGCCCGCGGCGATGCATGCCCCGCGGCACCAGACACCGCATGCCCTAGCTTAATCATCAATTATACATTCGCACCAGCCCTCCGACACATTGTAATTCCAACCTGCTGATTAACATCTGACGAGGGCCGCTTTTATGGGAAGAGACAGGCGAACTTCTCCGGCGCTGGACCCCACACACGGCCGTGCGGAATGCACGACTCGCGCGCGCGCAAACGCAAGGACGCGCACGCGGCTCCTGCGATGGCCCAGCTGCTGCTGCTGGTGCGTGAGCCTCGCATCCCGCTGCCCGCTGATTGATCGGCGTGTGTGGCTGAGCCCAAACGACCGACCGCCTGCGTTGGTGTCGGGAGCTCCCCGCCCCGGTATCCATTGATGGCATCTTGTAAGCTGTCGTACAATTTTTTTTTTACCGTCGGTAAATGCAGGATTTATTTAAAAATAAAAAGTCAGGTCATAGTTCCGACATGCTCAAACGAGCATTGGCTGATGCTAATTTCGACTGGCGACTTTGAGTTCGTCGAGGAAATTCCACATTCCAATAACGGGGGGGGAGGGGCGAGTCTATCCATCAGACATAAATGGTATTTATTTTATTGACCTCAGAGCGATTATGGGATGAATCGACCCACAATTGGGATGTGAACCCACAAGCTTCTACATAGGACAGACATCACATACGTCATCAACATATCCCCGTGCTCTTTTGATCACTGGGCAGCGCTTACATCAGTGGTCCTGAATGAGTGGAAAATCCACATAGACATGACAGGGACCAGTATCTTCACAGCATGGCCAACCTTTGTTGACTAAAGATGACGAGGCAATCACCCAGCGTTGCTCACTTCCACGATCCTACCGAGGTCGATGGCTTCTGATGACCCGAGCCATGATTATGAGTCACGGTGTCACGGTTGCGAACATGCTACCACAGCAAAAGGAAACGTGAGCGTAAGAAGAGTGGCAGAGGCTCCCGGTCATGAGAGCTCAAATCCTGATCACGGCTGACTCGGCGGCTCATCGCTCCCCCCTCCCCGCCTGCCGAGGTCTGTAGAGTGAGTACCGTCTGGTTGGATGCCAATAGTTGAATGCCCATGAAGAGACCGTATCCACCTTGGTAATGTGGACCTTTCACCACTGGTTCATGGAAATCCATGGCAATGAGTCCTATCTGACGTTAATTTAAGCCGATATTAATGTTAGCCTTTGTGGTATACATTTAGACATGATATGTGTGTACCTCGTTCTTGTTTTTAATGGAAAAAAATTAACACGTATTAAAATGTCCAATTTCCCAGCAAAAGCTTTTTTTTTCTTTCATTCCTTTTCAATTTCTCATCTCAAATAATATCTTGATATTACGCAACCGTCACTCAACACTCCCCACCCACACAATCCACCAAAAGGAGACCTTTGCTGTAAAATATCCTTTTTTGTTGCTGTGACTTCACACGTAGCAGCAACCTCTCTGCCCCAGCTTGGGAAACCCTACCCAGTGCGGATTGTGCTTTTGGAGAATGTCCTGCTGCCAAGCCTGTTATGGTCCACCTGCGTTGAGCGCCAACCATGTGCGGTGCACGAGCCTCACTCATTCTATGCAAGTGGGGAAAAGGATCTCCCTCGAGTTGGAAAGAGGTAACCGGGGTCGTGAAGTTGGCGACTTGTCCACCGGAACGTGTCGCAGGGGTAGAATAAAAATTCGTATGCCCTTTGAGGCAGGGAACATTTTATCTTGCTGCGGAGTTTCGATTATGTTATTCTATTAAAAGCTGACGATGGAAAAAAATACAGATTCATCAGCAGTTTGTCCTGTTGAGCAGGACACGTGGCTTCCTTCGCTGCCAGAGCAGACGATCTCTGCTATACAAATTACATACAACGCGAAATTACAGTGGTCAGCACAGAATGGCTTCAGGGAGAAGCCTCATTGGACTATTATTCGGTGTTTTTCTCTCGTTTATATGTCTCTGCCAGCGTGGTGAGGTATGACCAAACAATCCCTGCGGTGTGGGAAGGCTGTCTTCCAACAGTGGATCGACAAAGCGCTGTACACGTACGCACACACAGTACTTTATCAATGCACCGGTTACACATGGATACATGACTTTTTACAGGCTTTACAAAGAGTAAGCTTGATGCATCAGTACGAGCATTGTGTAATGATGGCAGCACTTTCAAGTGAGGCCTTAACTTCCATCATTAGTTTTAAGTGTTATGAAATGCCATTTAGATTTATTT